TAATAGATAATGTATAATGTAAAAAGTTGTACAAACTGTAACAATATGTTTGAATAAACAGACCTGAGGCATGACCTTACCTTAACTCCAAAAAAAAAAAAATAAAAATAAAAATCTTTAAAATTTTGTATATTTAATAAGAAAATATTGACTGCAATTAAAATAATTATTTTTAAAAAAAGCTATATAAATAATGTATAAAGCATATAAAAATCAGAAAAATTATATTAGAAATTTGTTTTCAAGAGATAATTCAATTCTATTATTCTCTTTAAAATTTTTTGTATCTGCAATTATAAAAAAAGTTAAATTATATTTAAAAAATGTTTAAAAATCAAAAATCAATAAAATAGAATACTAATCTGCTAAGTATATAAGAAATATGATAATTTGTAAAGAGCTTTTTAGATTTGTGCCAGTAAACCTACTGTTAACAGCAAACTTGTACCTTACTGGTCTTGAAGAACTGTCTAAAATAGATAAACAGTAAGTTCCAAATCAATGCTATATGAGATTATAATCATAATCACTAAGCTCTTAGACAATTACTATTGACTGATTCCAAAAAGAGTAAAGCAATCTGCATTAACCCAATTGATAAAGTAAAAGCTAAAATAAGTCAGTAGATTAATATTACCTTGTTAGATAAAGCTTGTGGCTATATGAATGCATTTTTAATTAACTGAATGACTATAGAGCTAAAAATGTTAGTTGAAATAAAAAAAAAGAAGCACCGAATAAGCAAAAAGAGAAGGCTATAAAAAGTAAGAGACAGTATTAAATCAAAAAGAAATAAAATAGTTTAAAACTCTATAAGAAAATAGTATAAGAAGCATAAAGGAACATTTGAAAATCTCCAAGAAAAACATTATAAATAATCATAGAATTTTCTTTTGTAATGTATATGCCCTTTCTGCTCTAGAAATTAAATAAACAGAATATAAATAAAATTTGTAACTCTTCTAAAAAGAAATAATAAAAGCCCAAAATTATAAAATAAAATGCATTTAAACTCTTATACTTATCTTGTAATGCTCCTTATTATTCATCTTGACCTTGTGCTAAATTATTCTACTTCTAGAACATTAAGAAACATTATGCAGCATATTTAACTTTAAAATAACAATTTGCTGCTTTTCTTTGTTACTTGTATATGTGTTCTAACTAAGCAGTCTGTAATACTACTAAATTAATAGTTATTTAGTATTTAATAAAACAATATGCTACTATCACCTTATGCAGTATACAATAGTGCAGAAGAACTTTTTCAAAGTGTACAAACATTTGCAATCTTTCAAGGTTATGCATTAATAAAAAAAAGAACCTGCAAAGATAAACATAATGAATTAAAAAATATGAAACTATATTATAACCAAGGTGGTGTATACAATAATTCTTTAAATTTGATCAGAGAAACATGCAACAGGCAAGAAAGTACCAGGCTAATAGACTACTCTTTTGAGTTATATGCTATTCAGCACAATAGTCAGTATTATCTTGAAGTACATAATTCAGCCTACAATCATGATGGTTCAACAAATATGTCAGAGCATTCTATTGCTCATTATCTTACAAAACAGCAGTTAGAAAATGTTAAAGTAATAACTAATGCTAGCTTACATTCTAAAAAAAATATTTTGACCCTTTGCCAGAATGATGAATTCATACTTGTAATTAATAGTGATATTTACAATACATGCAAACAGATTCAACAACAAAATTTAACAGGTTATACTCCAATACAAGCTCTTGTAAATGAGTTTAAAAAAGGCAACTTTTTATATGATTATGAATATAATAATACTAGGTCAGTTAATTATCTTTTTTTTGCATATAATGAATCTATTGCTCTTATTTGACAATATCCTTTAGTTCTTCTTATGAACTGTACCTACAAAACAAATAGATTTAAAATGCTATGATTAAATGTTATAAGTATAATTAATTTAATACAATATTATTTTCTTGTTTTGTCTTTATGAAAAATAAAGAAGAAGATAACTATAAATAGGTTTTAACACAAATTAATTACTTATTTAATAGAATACTAAATCCTAAAGTTATTGTAATAGATAAAGAGCTTGCCCTTATGAATGCCCTCAGAATGGTTTTTTCTGATTCAACAAATTTACTTTGTGCATAGCATATAAATAAAAATATTTTGAAAAATTGTAGATCCTTATTTCTTAAAGAAAATCAAGACCAAGAGAATAAATGAAAAATTTTCTCACAAAATAGAATAACATTATTCAATAAGTAACTGAAGATAAGTTTGATGTGAAGTGAAAAGATTTTTGTTTTACTTATAATAATAAATCTGATGTTATAGCCTATATTAAGAAAACTTGAATGCTATAAAAGAAGAGATTCATGAAAGCATGAACAGATAAAATTTTTCATTTGGAAACAATGATAACTTCATGCATTAAAGGTTTATATTCAACTATTAAAGCATATTTACAAACATTTACAAGTAATCTTTACCAAGTTTGCTTAACAATTACTTTAGTAATAACTAACTAAAAAAAAGAAATTGATGTTATAACTGCATTAGAACAAATGCACTTTTAGCATTTGTGTATAATAATGCTTTGTATGCAAACCTCCAGGATAAAGTTTTATTATTTGCTCTTAACAAGATAAATGAACAGTATCAGAAAGCAAATCATGCTATTGCACAAAAACTATTACTACCATGTACCAGGTCTTTTGCAAGAACAATAAGCTTACCTTGTACTTATAATATCCAAAATCTGAGAAATAGTCAGAGCCTATTATTTGAAGTTATTTATAGACACTGATAGATTCAAAAACATCCACCAATATTACAAATTAATGACAATAATTTTCATCATAAAGACTTACTGCAATCTTTTTTGCAAATCTTAGAATGAAGATATTATGAATAGTCCAAACATTAGCAAATAGCTATTTGTAAAACATTAAATAACATTATTAATGTTCTATTAACTGTCTTGCAGAACCTTCAGGTAATTTATATCAAAAAATGTCTTTCTGGTGCTTCAAATTGGCAACAAACCAACATAACTAGAAGAGATCCTTTTGGATTTAAGTTGGTTGAACATAAATAAGACAATATAATCTTTGTAATCAGCCCAGTCATAATACTTGTACTTGCTTGACTAGAAATAGTATAAAGTGAAAACATTTAGTTATTTAGCTTATATAGTATAATTAGCAGTAGTATTAAAAAAAAAATTCTTATCTAGATAGAAGTAACAATAGTAATATGTTTTTTTTTTAAAGGCCATACTTGTGATGATATTTTATTGACTTTATATCAGATTAGCTATTACAACTATTTTTACAAAGATGAAAGTACAGCTAGTTATGCATGCAACTTTTGGTTGTCTATTTAAGTAGTCCACTCTAAGGTTCTACACTAGATGCCATACCTATAACCTACTAGGAGATTATCTATTTAAACCTTCTGATCATCTGCCTTGTCATATTGGAATCTTCAACTAACCCTCTGTATATACCTAACTGGTATACCATCTGAGCAGTATGGTACCTACCTTTTTTGTACTGGTTCCTAGACCATTACACATTTCAGAGTACATCACCTGCCAGTAAGGTGTAAGGTGCCTCCTATTGTTAACTATTTACTTACTTTTAGAACACTAATACAGACTACCCTTACAGAGTTCATTCAGACCTCAGTACTGACTTTATAGCATATTCCTAATACTTTTAGTATACCCCTGCTTTGAATCCAGACTTCCAATTCAGATAGCCCAGAAGAACTGTGACCTGTTCTTGGTATATTGAGGCCTAAAGGTCTGCATTAGGTTCTCAGCTCGGCCCAGCCTGGTCTGGCCTAGCACACAAATTTTTGTAGGCTAGGCCAGACCTAAAGCAAAATTTTATAATTGTGGACCAGGCCAGGCTAAAAAATTTGCAAACCTTTATAATTGCAGACCAGTGCAGGTCTAAAAATTTGTAAAATTATATAAGAAATTTTTGTAGACCAGGCCAGACTGGGCTAAAAAAAAAATTTAATATATGCGGGCTGGGCTAAGTCAGCAAAAAAATGATAACTCTAAATATGGGCCAGGTCAGGCCTAAAAAAAATTTTTAACTCTAACTGCAGACTGGGCCAGACCTCAAAAATAGGCACTTTGCAGATCCCTATTGAGGCTAGCACAATATCCTTTTTCTTTAGTCTGAAATCTGGCAGTCTGGTTAGTAGTACCCCTTACTCGAGATTCTTGCTTACTTGAATCTTTCACATTGGTATCCATTTCCTAGATCTAGCCTTTACAGTAGTACTGTTGAAGATCTGTATTATCTCTTTGCTCAGAATTTCCAAGTGAGTTTCGGCTTCTCAGTTTTACAGATTTACATAACCCAAGAACATATTTTAGATTTGCACCACCCGGTACTGGTTTGCATTCCTCTGTATAACAGGTTACACAAATGCCTCAGACTTGCCAGTTAAGCTGGTGCGACCATAGTTACAGGTATCTTATTCCAACTGATCAACAGAATGCCATCACTATAATACCATCTATATATTATATAAGTGATTATTCAAATTTCACTGTCAATAGGTTTTGAACTCACAACCTCTACTTGGAGATATGACAACTTATCCACTTTACTAAGTCATCACACTTTAATAGTAATATATTAGGTTAGTACAGTTGGTAATAATATTCAAAAATAAAATTCATTTAAATCTTTTTACCTATATACAAAATTGAATTTTAGTTTTTTTAACAGTTAAGCTTATTATTTACTAAAGTTAAATATTAACAGGCTTATACCTTTATCTGGCTTTTAGCAAATCAACCAAACAAAAAAGATACTTATAAAAAATTTTTTTATTAAATAGCAGTGATTAAAGTAATTAAAGCAATTGAAGCAAAAATCAGTTATTAAAAAATTTTCAAAGAATTCCCAAAAGAATTCTCAAATTACAGTTTTGTATATCTTTTATATTAGTAATATAGATAGTTTTTTTGTTTTCTAATTAAAAATAACAAAATCTTATTTAATAATGCACATCTCTGCTAACTTTTGTTTACTGTTGCTATTACAATATTATCACTTTCACTATTCAAGAGTTTAATTTACTTACTATAGTACTATATATATAATTTCATAATACATACATGTGATTGAAAAGACTGTTAGGGTATATGATATGATATATCCAATCAAAAGCTGTATATTTTTATGTAATCATATAATTATCAGAAATTTTTATAATAAAAGTACAAATACCAAATATGAGGGTACAAATACTAGCCTCTTAAAAAAAATAAATAAAATTAATTTTATAAATAAAAAAATAAAAAAAATAAACCTGCTAGATAATAATAGCATTATACACATTAGGACTGCAAACTACATATTATAGTAATGACTGGTTCATCCAAAAAAATTTATTAGAACATCTATAAATCAACTTCTTGAAAATTATCCTAGAGTCTCTTACTTTAAGAAAAAACTAAACAATCACAACATTACAAGTATCAAACAATTTCTAAATTCAACAAACACAGAATTGATAACATGAAATAACTTCTATTATAATATTAAAAAAATACCCAAAAGCCAATGTTCTTATTGGTTTTCTATAATGCAAGACCTAATAACTGCCTTTGTAAACTCATCTTTAACACTTTCAAAATTAAACCTAACATCTTAGCCAATTAGACATCTAATAAAAAAACTAAATAATTACAAAAAACTTAATTTGTGGAAAAATTTACAACCTACTCAAAAAGCATTTTAAAATCTGATATTATATTTTACATTTAGATAATATACTGACAGCCTGCCAAGAATGCACTTTAAAAAATAGGTCATACACTCCTAAATACTATTACTTTAATATTACAGAACTAATCTATAACCTCCAAGTAAACTGTAAAAAAAAAATTCATATCAATCTTGATATTTTTAAAAAAGCATTAACTTTAAATTTATTAGCAACAAATTGATCTCAAAAACAAAAATGCATTCTGTCTTAGCTAAACCTTTATGTTTATTTAACAACTTTCTAATTTCACTTTAGGATACAATAATAAAAGATTACTTTAACAAAAAAACAATAACATTATATATAACAAGTGATCAACACAATATAAAAAACAACTCTTATATAATTGCAAGTTGTTGTTTTTAGCATTTCAATACCTTATTTAGTTGTTTTACCAACTGCTAGTCTTCTTATTTAAACACATTAATAATCTTGCTAATCTTTGTGCTTACTACAATAAATCCAAGTACCAATATAAAAATATTTACTAATAACTTTTTGCTTGTAAATGCAATTATCTTTATGCAATTAGTTCAATTATATAACTATCCTAGTTTAGATAAATAGCAACATATCTATCTTTTTTTAATACTAAAGTCATAACATATAACCAAATCCTAATAGTTACATTGGACAAAGAACTCAAAATTTCACAAGCACAAAACAATATCTTTTCACTAGATTCTACACTATAAAAATTTCTATATAACTGCTTCATCTTAAAGCTTCTTGACAATCTTTATACATATTTACTTAAAACTACTTGAAGCAAATTTACCAAATCACAAACAGAATAACTTGATTTAACCAACAGTAAATCTTATATTAGCATATTTTACAAAACAAAATCAACTGGTCACTAACTTTGCAATATATATTATATAGAGAGAAACTTCTTGCCTTAGTAACTAATCTCTTCTTTTTAACACTAAAAAACTTTAAAATAAAACTACTCTCAGAAGAATTATCTACTTATCTTTTGTTTTATTAGAGAAATGCTATCAAACATTCAAACTATCTCTGTCTAAAGTGCTATAGTGCACTAAAAGATATAATATACTTTTTAACTTGCTTCTGAAACTATACATGTCTTATAACTTTAATAAAAGATGCAATGCAGAAAACTTTGAATGACTTGAAAATACTATATTATAAAATACACAGTTTCACTTAAGTCTTCATTTCAAATCATATTAACAAATATATGACATTAAGACTAATAACTATTAAGACACTAACATTTTTTAAAAACAATAAACAAAAAAATAAATATGCTTTTTTCATATATTATAATATTGTTACTGCAATATACAAAGAGCTTTAACTTATTTTAAGAACAATACAACATAATTTAGTTTTTTTAGTTCTAATACCTCTACAGTCTTCAATATTAGCTAAAACTAAACCAATCTCAATATCAGTAATAAATAAAAAAATACAATATTATATTACTAATAGACAATCTTCTTTTCATTACCTTATTAAAGACTAAAAGTTTATTAATCATTCTAGCAAAAAATAAATCAAGAGTAAAGTAGCTCTTACCTCCATCTTCCCTAGTTTAGTTTCTTCAACATGTATCTTATATATATAATTTGACTAATTAATAAAGAAATAGAGAATAGACCTTTCTTTTTTTTAAAAAAAATAAAAATATATTAAAAAATGAAGTAATCAGCAGACTGGCATATAAGAAGAAAAAAATTATTATTACAGATAAACATAAAAAAGAAAAAAATAAAATTTAAAAATTATAATTAGATTTAGTTATTTGTTTTATAAATAAAAAAATAAGACTATTTTTTTATTATCTTAATAACTAATTTAATATAATCTTTTGGTTAGATTAAATTTCTAACTAGTACAATAAGTTACTTTTAGATGCTTATAAAGTAGTTACAAAATATTAAACCAAAATTTAAACTAACTTTATATAAATATATATACAAAAATCTTAATAAAAATGATTGGCAAAACTATTTAAGTATAAAAAAAATAAAAAATTTATTTGATTTAAAAAGATACTTAATTTTAATTTTTTAATTAAAAATTCTAATTTAAATGTTTTTTTTAAAAAATTTTAAGCAAAATAAAAATAATTTTGCTAATTTAATCTAATTTTAAATGCTACATAATATATAAATTAAAAATAATTAATAAAATTTTAAGAATTATAAGATTTTATAAAATTTATTAATAAAATTTTATAAATTTTATTATTTTTAAAAGTTTACTAATTATTTTTATTTTATTTTTTAAGTAAACTTGTTTAGTATTAAAAAATACGCATATATATATTTAAATTCCAACTAATTTGCAAACTTTGAACCAAATTTAAACCAAACTCTTAATTGAATTTAAGTTAATTTGAAGTTTAAAACTAGTAAAATTTAGAGTTTAAGTCTAAGTTTAATTTTGAATCAGACTCTAAACTGAACTAACCTAAACTGAACCTAAGAGCTTGACTTTTACTAATATAAATAATATATTTATTATTTATTTTAATACTTATATCTATATTTATACCTATTTCTATGCTTGTACCCACATTTAATTTTTTTGCCTATACTCATGCCTATGCCAAATTTTTATACCTATACTGTGCCTGCGCCAAAATTTTATGCCCGTGCTTATGCCTATACCTTTGCCTAAGGTTTTATACCTTTGCCTAAGGTTTTATACCCATGCTTATGCTTGTACCTGAGTTTTCATACCCATGCCTATGCCTAGACCTTTAGTTGTGCACAGGCATGAGCTCAGGTTGCAGACCTCTAATTTAGACGTAGTTACTAATTAAAGTGAATTGCTACTCTGGGCTAAATTTTTTACTCCACTCAGTTACTTCATTATTTTTAATATATATACAAATAATCATTATTACTACCAATGTTATTCAAGTATCGCAACTAAAATGTTTTTAGATATATCAAAGTAATGGATATTAATTTATGTTACCAATTAAATTAATTTCATGTGACTTCCCGAGCGTTTTGGAGATGCATGACCAAACTTGAAACATAAGCCCGGGTCGGGTTTAAACTTAACCTAACCCACTCCGCTTCATTTAATACGTAACCCTACCGCTATCGCTATAATTCATAAACAATAGAGTAACTAAAATATGGGTAATATTGTTAGTATATATCGATATCAATACAGTATCAGTCTTTGAGACACTTTTGTGGATCGTCATCATCATCTAGTGCATCAAAAAGATACATATCTGAATTCACTATTTCAGGTAAGGTCTCCCAATTGCTAAAATTTGTCGTTGGCGATTCGGCCGACATCAACGAAACAGACGATTGGGAAAATTTGGTATTTTTGGTACACAATTTCACATGATCCGAACTAGAATGCGTCAAATCTCTTGATGTTGGGATATTGATCGAATCTTTGGAAGTTCCATCTTGAGACGATTCATTTACAAAGAGTTTTTGTTCGTTAATGAGTGGCTGACTAGTCTGAGACGGGTTTTGATCTAGTTCAATAAAGTCTTGCTTCATCGATGGTTCAATGTTTGTAGCAGGGACCTGTTCAAACTCATCCGTTTGCGTTTGAATATTAGAACTACGTGGTTCATTTGGAGGTTCATTACTACTGTTCTTCGTGGCCTTCATTAGACATTTCATATCCTGTTTCAAAAAACTTAGTTCCAATTGAAGGCAAGCATTTTTCACTTCGAGGTTATGGATGCGAGTCAAAACATTCTTCAGACAATAATACGACAATTATTGAAAGTGCACAAGCGAACAAATATTCATAAATATATGTTTATAAATCTACTCACTTGGCCAATTATGACATCTTGATTATAGTTAAATTGTTTGTCTTCTTTTATATAATCTGAATCTTTTTTTGTAAATATTTTTATTATTGGTTTTTGTTGTGCAGATTATTTGTATTGACGAATTTAATGCATTAAGAGAAATTGCACACCTGAATTATCATAATTATTATTAAAGCTTGCGGAAAATTCGGCAAAGTTGCTTTTCTTGCACCTTTTACTTGCGATTATTTTTCTAGAACTTAATTTAGGACTATCAATTGCACCTAATGAGGAATTAGTATCAAATTTTTCGTCGTCATCTTGAGAAATCTCAAAATCAATGTTCGATGTGCACAAAAAATCGTTCCACGCAATATTTGTTGAGGTGATAGATTGGGGGACAACAGAATGCAATGCAGAAGTCTCTATCGTTCTTGATGTAGAAATAAGGGATTTATTGGCTTCGAGAGTTATTCTCGTGTCAGTACAGCTTGGTGGTGGTGGAGATTCGGCAATTTTACTGACTTTTGAGTTGCATTCATCATTTGTTGATAAGAAACGATGCCATTCTAACGATTCTTCACCAATCGAGGCTTCAGATGCATTGGTTTGTTCTAAAGGCGATAATGAGTCGATTATTGTCGCGATATCGACTACGGTCGTTGTTTCATACATGCTTAAAAATATTTAATGTTTGATTATTTTTATATTGAATAAAATAACTCCTGAATATCATTTTCCCACCTTTCTTTAGATAATTTTGTGCTTATAGACGGTGAGTTTAAACGTCTAAAATGATGTGTAGATGTTAATGATTCTTTGGAGTATCGTCCGCTGAGAGAATGTGATTGGCTTCTTCGATTTGTCTCTTCAAGAGAGTCTGTTCACGTGATTAGTACATGCACTATATATGTTTTAAAAGATATTAATGATTCACCTGAAATAGTTGTATTATTCGTAATATTCTATGTAAAAAAAATAAATTTAGGTGCCTATACTTGTTGCGTAACTAAATATATATGTAAGTTGCATCGTACTTACGATGGGTGAAGAAACACTGATGCCAATCCAATCTAACCCTTGTAAAAGATCCTGTTTGCGCTTTAAAATATCTTGATAACAAACAATGATAAGATTAAAAAAAAAATTTCAATAATTTTTTTTCCTTAACATAACAAATTACCGGTCATGCTTTGTGAAACAGTTGTAGGATTGTTCGCTTTTTCGTGATCCAACTTTGTCTCTGAATCAGATTCATGAAGTTTATTACTTTCATCATCACAAAATATCTCTATACGATCTTCAGAATGGTTCAAAGCAAGTGAAATTGGTGACGATATTTGGTCATCTTCATTATTTGAATGATTACTTTCTTCAAGAAAAGAATTTATCTGATGATTGCCATCATTTTGTCGGACAACATCAATACTGGGCAATGTACGTGTATGTTTTGGTTCAGTTTTAAGAAATTTATGCACTTTCTTTAAACGTTGACGATTGAAAAACTCTTTTTGCCTTTGTTGTTCAAGCTTGATTTTTGTCTTGTTTCTTAAATTATTTTAAATCATATATTTCAGTTGTTTCTTTTATTAACGAAATAATGAATAATAATGAATTCAATTGTAAATTTTGAAATCGTTTTTATTTAACCTTTTGCTACCAGTCCAATTCATGTTTGCTCTTGACTTTAAATTCAATTTTTAAGTTTTTCTAATTCATAACCGACAATTAAACGAGTTCATATGAGTGCTGCCAAGGGAAAAGGGCCACTTGGTTTTATTGATTATTTATGGTATGTAATATAGCAATACAATATACAATTTTGAACTATATAATTGAAAGCCCGATATGCATTGATCAGAAATGCTGAATCAGATAAATATACTTAAAAAACCAAGCGGCCCTTTTTTTTGGCAGCACTCATGCAGTCGACTCTCCATAAGTGCACATTATTTGATCTGTTCAAGAAAAATCAATTTATTAATAATACGATTTCATTACAAATTTAAACCAAGCTACGTCGTTTTCTCTCTATAAGTGCATGTTCCCCGATAATGTACTCATATAGAGAGCCGACTGTATATATTTGAATACCTATGACATAATCAATATTCGTATGATAGTTTGTATACGTATGTACACACATCAATATCATGAAGTGGGTAATAAAAAGGTTATTACTGTATTTTGGCTTTAAATAGTAAAACCAGGCTTCGGGTTTTCAAGTTTATTACTTATCACTTACTAGAGACATGTATGAAATGAAACGTAGGTAAATTTAATTATCGTCATTAGGGCTGAATCTGGTAAATAATAAACTTGAAAGCACGAAATATACCGTATTTTGCGGAATAATAACCCTGGAGATATTATAATATATTTATTTATACCTGGTTACTATACTATGATCTGAAGAAAGTATGGTAGCTCTCCCACAAAAAATCTTATCCCCTCGTGATTTTTATCCAATTAGATAGGTGTAATGAAATCTTTAGGGTTAGGATTAAGTTACGTTAGGGGTGAATTTTTTGATTAATTTTTCGTGGGAGATCTACAGGCGTTATGAGAAAGGTATCGATATTGAATACTACGTATCATTAATATTAAAATAGATTCCAATTTATATATAATTAATAATTCTGGCTAAAATTTTACAAGTCTATTACATTGTATATTGTACATTTATACCTGGTTCTTTTAAGTAATGTACAGTCAAACCTTTCAAAACTGATCCTGCCAAAAATGATAACCTTTGATAACTAATAAAAAATTGAGCCACCGTGTCTGTTCCATAAATCAAACCTAATAACCTGTTTAACCTAATAACTAATACTTAAAGATTAAATATTTATCAGATACAGGTAAAATAAATTGATTTGATTGGTTTAAATTAGATGTTGTTTAACATATTATAAATATACAAGAAATAAATCTAGCCAATCACATTTGTTTATAGCTATATAGCTATACAGCTAATAGGTTATTAGTATTTCAAAACTGATACAAAAGCTGGCCATCATGCATGTCAGTTTAGGAAGGTCATACTGTATTATGACGAAGATATATTATTCCGCAAAATATGGTAATTCCTTTGGCATCACTCAAATATATTTGAGATAGGTTAGTCATGTCACTTAGACTATATCGATATTTCTGTATTCAGGCTATTACAGTATTAACGTTAATTTTAATCATTCGGGATCTAAAAAAAAGTTCTTATAAAAAACTCAGATTCTGAATAACGATAATGAGTATAAAATTAATATAGCCTGAATACAGGAATATAATCTGAAAGGCTTGTAAATCACGGTACTGCCAATTTGTTATGACAAGACTAATCTATCTTATTAGAGCTAGAGTTGGGAAAAATTTTTCCAATCGATTAGTTGCCAACTATAGTTGCAACTAACCAACTTTTCCTATCATGTGACTAAATTGGTTGATTGGCCAATCAAACTAAAGAAATCAACACAAACCAGCCCGAATAGATGGAATATCTCGGAATTTAACTGGTTGATGATTTAATCAACTAGTTGTTTCAAAATTTTCTGAATCGATTAGTTGGAAAGTTGTCAACTAGTTGGTTTTTCAACTAACGATTTGGATCACTAATTACTGCATTATGGAAAAATTACAATGTACGTATGTAGTAAAATTAACAATTTATTGACAAAACTAATGGGTTTGGGATTGGGATTTGGAACAATTTTACTCTGCTTAGAATTTAGATTTTGGATTTGGTTTGGCAGCAAATGTAGTTACTAGCCTTAAGCTCAATACTTTTTAATTGGCCTTGGACATATCAGCACTAAGACAAAGACTAGTCATGCTTATTACTAATCTATTCTTTATACATTTATAGCCTACGATCATTATTAAATTAGGTTAAATCCTGTGATTGTCCTGTGATTATCAAAATTGTGATGATTCAGAAAAGTAAAATTTTTTGCTGGAGTTAAGATTAGAAATTGGTCAAGGTTTTTTTGTGACGCTGAATATTTTTATTTGGAGCAGTTTTTGGATTATTTTAATAAACTCGATCAAAAAAAAGTAGTGTCATGTTCTAAATTTATATAGAAGATTATTGGTTAAATAAGAAATTTTAGATCCCGAATTTTATTAACGTTAATGAATTCTATAACGATACTGCCTTAGCGAAAAAAATATTGAATAGAAATGTCGGCATATACGGAGGAAGTTTTAATTTCAAAACTTAACAAACTTGTTGACACTCAAGAATCTATTTCTTTGCTCTCACAGTGTTAGTCTTCAACAGCCAAATAACGAATGTTTGACGACGGCTATTTTGTAACATTTACCTTCACCCCTGCCAAGAATGCTTTTTTTTTTAGAATAAGTGCTTATATAGTTTTCTCTAAGAAGTGACTCATCAGGGTTTCATTTGTTTCTATTAGGGTTTATGTACCATCGGCGGCATGTTGCGACTAGTGTGGATATATGGAATCGTGAACTTCGAAAGGGTAGGCATGTTTACTTAATAAAACTTTAAACATACGTTCTTGATATCTGTCATGCCATTTTTTTTTTTTATATTTTTAATAGCATCATCTGCACGGAAACTTTCATTTATATACCTTTGTAATGACGTTTGTCAAAATAGCCGACGAAAAGGTTTAGAATTTACCCAAGAATTCAAAAAAGTTCTTCCAGATGCCATGGAACACACGTATCGCCATGCAACAGCTGATGTTCAAGGTATTATAAGGCGAGTTATCAACATATGGGATGAAAGAGAAGTATTTGACAAGGACTTCCTAGACGAGTTGCGAAGGCGTTTCACAGGTATAATAAATGTACGGATTACAGTTTTCGACATTTATTATCTTAAATGACTTTTTTGTTTTTATGCTACTGGTCTAGGTCAAAAAACTCTTAAATCAGAACAACAACTGATACAATCAGTACTTAATACACCATCACATCCATGCCGCCCGGACATTGTAATTGTTATCTGATATCATTAGATAATTGATTAGTTTATAAACATCTTACTAGAAACCTTTATATGATCTTATAGGCAAAGTTAATGACTGCAACACAATCTATTTCAGAATCAGAATCAATCGTGCATGAATATGGAAATAAAGTTGCGAAGATTTGGTCGGAAGTAATGGAAGCGGAAGGTATAGAACCCAAGATTTATTAATAAATGCAGTACATGAAAAATTCTTAAATTATTTAAATCATAGAAAAACCTAGTCCATCCATACTTTCACAACAACTTGACCATCTTCTTCGCGTGCTTACTGAACATCAAAATCTTGTCTCGAAAAATATTACAAATCGAACACAACTAATCAATCAAATGAAAGAGATAATGGCACAGGAAGAAATGAGATTAAGGCTAGATAATAAAAGCCTACTGGATACTCAATCTAAAATCAATGAAACTAAGGAATGCATAGAACAGTTAAGATCAATAAGCGATTTTCGGTATAATGCGATCCCAGATAGAAATAAAAATAAGCATAATGGTGAGTCTCGATATGAACCAAACGGTGAAAATCGGCAAAAGGATCAACAACAACAACACGCCATTAAAGAGAATGAGTCTAAACCAAGATCAATAAAAACAAATGAAGCATCGCAACAATTAATGAAGGTAGAAGAGGAATCTCAAGAAAGTACTTCGTCAAGCTACGATCCTTCGATTCATTTGACTTTGCCGCCATCATCATTTACCTCTGGATCAATGTTACCGTCAGAAACTCAACTATTTGGAGATTCGTTTTCTCTTATGAACGACCAACTGCAGGTTCCTTATCAAAGTACGTCCATTTCTTCTTCTATATCGAATTCACCGGCACCTTCCAGCAATAGTGATGAATACAGTGATCCTTTAGTATCCACGGACCATAGAGGATGATCATTATCATTGGTTAAGTTGTATTATGCATATTATAATACGGTGATTTTGGCGTCTTTGAATATGCGATAGATTATTTATGCAAGTATAGCATTTTTGGAATTGCTATATTTTTTAGTGTATTCAATGATAGTGACCACGACAAACTTCATTTTTTGAACTTTAAAGCAACCAAAACCCATTTCAGGTGTTTTAATTTCGACCAAAGGTGCAGGAGTCATATTTGCGTAAGAACTCTTATTCAATTTTCTAATTTTACCTTGCTTTCGTCTTTCCATAATTTTTGTAATTGCATATGATAAAATAGATAAAGATTACTTTCTTTTAGTACGCAAGTTGTGCTTATCGCAAAACACAATGCTAAATGACGTCCGTATTTTTTGCATTAACTTTGTCTATTTATACAGTTAACAAAATCGGGTTACATTTGTGATTTTCTATCATTATACATATCACGAGCAATTTTAAACATTATCGTAGATCAAATACAGTATAAGGGATACCATTAATAAATTTGTCTTTTAATCAATTGACATAAAGTAAGGGTCCCTTATACTACATTTGATCCCATTATCGTTATGATTAAAATTACTGTAGCTTTTGTGCACCTGCACGATAATGCGCCACGCATCTGCAAAAACTTTGATGCTATTGTTTAAGAAATGAGTAAAAAAATCTATAGCATATTTCTTTACGACCACCTCTTTGTAATTATCCCCCTCCCTATAATCACAGTTTCTAACATTACCCTTAAATCGTAATTTTAGCATATAATTTGTACGTACATACGTTAAAATAATTGGATGAAAATATAAATTTTTTACGTATAAAAATTTTTACCATACTTGGGGTCCTTAAAGCCGGGTCAAAAAAAGTTACGTACATCTTTGATGTCTTTAGAATTACCTTTTTTGATGTAATTAGGGTTAGTAGATTATTTAGATATCAAAATATGAAATCTGTTCCACTTTAAGGGATTCTATTAATTGGCCTTCTTATAAGTTGTTCAAGGTTTTATTTTTTTTGCAAATTTTTTAAAGACTTTGCAGGGCTAGGTGCTGGAAAAAAGATCGAAAATGACAATATTTCAAAAGAAAATTATGATCATTTTTTACTTAAGATACAAAAATAATTGTATTAATAAAATTTTGCAAGAGTTTTTATTTTTTTGATTTATTATAAAATTTATCTCTTAATTTGTAGGCTTTTTTAGGCAAATTTGCTTGAAAAATTATTAAAAATATGTTTATAATTTATATTTTTAAATTTTAAAATATTTAAATAAAATTTTATTTAATAATATTTATTAATTTTTTTTTAAATAAGCAGTCAGTCATTCAGCCAAATGACAATTTTATTAGTTAGTAATATCTTAAGTACATTCATAGTTTATAAAAGTACAGCTAGTTATATATATAACTTTAATTATTGTCTATTTAAGAGTTCTAATCTAAGGTTACTTATTATCTGTTATATCTAATTCCTGTTTGTGAATAATCTATTTAAACTTTTTAACTTATCAATTAATATTTATATAACTATTTTATTTTAAGGCAAGTGACTTTGTGCTGTCTCATATTGAAAGCTATTCAGATTTGATTTTATTTCTTTTTGTACTAATATCTAGATTATAGCATCAAAGTTTATTATTTGTTAGTAAGACTCAAAAAACCTTTTTGTTAATTTTTTATTTTTCTATAGATCTTAACAGTATTATGTTATTACAGAGTTCACTTGAACTTTAGTACTATTTTATAGTATATTTTTAGTATTTTAGTATACTTTTGTTTCTGTTTTCAGATTTTTAATCTAAATAGTTAAGTAAAATTATAACTAGTTTATTAACATATTAGATCGGTCTAATATCTTTTTTTTTGATTTTCTTAATTAGAATTTTAATAACCTAGTTGATGATATCTTTTACTTAGAAGTTCTTGTTTATCTAATTTTTTTATATTAGTATCTATTTTTTAAATCTAATTTTTATAATAGTATTATCAAAAATCTGTATTATTTTTTTACTTGAATCTTTTCAAATAAGCTTTCTAGTTTTTATAAATTTATATAATTACAAGGATTTATTTTAGATTTGCATTACTTAATACTAGTTTGCATTTTTCTGTATAATTAATTACACTAATATTCTATAATTTGCTAATTATGTTAATATAATTATAATTACAAATATCTTAATTTAATTATTAGAAATAGTTGTCATAACACAAATAAAAATCTAAATTTTTGGCATTAGTAGATTTGGAACTTCTAATTTGTTATTTAAAGAAGTAACAACTTGATTATTTTACTAAGTTATTATATTCTTTTATTTGATAATATTTAAAAATAAGAATTATATTATAATAGTATTTAATTTTATATTATAAGAAAAAAAATATATATATTTTTTTGGTGTTAAGATGAGGTCTTGCTCATATCTTTATTAATAATTTTAATTGTATATTTTAGTACAGGAGTACTAAAATAAACTAAGGTTGTTTGTAACAAAATAAAAATTACATGCAAGAATGAGAGCTCAGACTAGTTTATTTGCGACCTAAACTGACTATGGTGGTCAAGGCCCACTTAGATTTGGAGTATTAGTATATAGTTAGAAGGAATATTGTATTTAATTCAGAGAATTGACCAAATGTTGATTTTTCTAATTGCTTGACCAATTGGTGAACATATATTGGATTGTAAATAAAGTTGATTTGCAATATCACATAGGCATAAGTATATGTATGCTTGGTGTTGTTGTTTCGAGACTCTATGATTTAGATGTTGTATATTAGTGTTACTAGTATTATTTTGATATCTTGGTGGAATTTGGTTATGTTTTTTCTAATTAGAAAATTCAATGCAGTATGGTTTCCAAATTAGTTTATAGATTTGTTTGTTAATATATAAAAATATTTGAATTACAATTTGTGAAGCTAATTGTAAAGGTATATTAAAGTTGTGAATGACTTCAATAAGTGATTTAGGTATAAGTTCTTTAAGTATAATGTCTATAAAATGTAGATTGTGTTGAAAAAGTATGTGATCAAAACATAGATGATGGCATATATTAGAGTCTAATTCATAAAGTTGAGAAGGTGATAGGCCCAGTTCAGTCTTGGAAAGTATTTGGTTAACAGATATATGAATGATATTAAGGAGAGTATTATGTGTATTAGAGCATGTATGCCAGTGTGTAGATGAGTTAGGAAGATTGCATTTGAAGCAATTAGTATTGGTAAAGATATGAGGATATCTGTTATGAAGAAAGAATTAAGTAGGTAGCTCATTTAGTAAGAATTTAGATTTGAAAGCTTTAAGTTGATTAAGTTTAAAGCTAATATAAAAAGATGTAAGTTTTTGGTTATGATTAAGATAAAACCAAGAGGAGGTTCAGTCTATAAGGTGGTTTAGATGAGACCATTCACTGTTTCTTTTTTGTAAAGACTACATTATAAGTATATATATTTTACATATATTTTTGATAAAATATCTAGTTGGTAGTTCAATGAAGTTTTGTTCCTATTGAAGAATATGATAAGAGTTATAAATATTAGTATAATTAAAGATGAAAGGTTGAAGAAGTATATGTTGTTTTGCTAAGGAGCCTGCAAGGTTATTAAAAGAATTATCAGTATGGGCTTAAACTTTGTAAAAGTAATTTGAAGGTTAAAGGATTTTATAATATTAAGTAAGGTATGTCATAAAGGCCATGTACTAAATTTAAATAACTTGTTAGAGTTTTGTAATTGGTTTGATAGTGTGTAAAATTTTGAAATAACAGATTATAAGTCTGTGTATATACTAATAGATGAATTGCAAGGTGTAGTAGAAATTACAGATATAATTGAGACTAATTTAGCTTTATAGGATGATGGTCATAAATAAACTTGGACTGAAAATTTATAGATAATTTGATTTTGTTCATTAATTTGAACCCATCTAATATCTATAGAGCATTGTTCTGATCCAATATCAATCACAGAACCATCAGTATAAAAAGTAAAGTTATTATTTGTAAAATTAGATAGATAAATGTCTTGAAGCTCGTAAAAGCAGCTGTTTGGTTTAAAGATTTCTAAAATGCTAGAGTTGTGTATAATAATATCAGAAGCTATAGAAGGTATATATAAAGGATATTTAATAGCTGTTGAGTATATAAGGTCAATGTAATTGGCATTGAGTTTAAGATTGTTGGAGGTTTTTCTAGCTAGGAATGTTGCAAAAATAATACTGATGTGTTAATAGTACATATTTGGTTAATTCTGTTTGAATTAAGATGGCACCTGTACATGGTTTGTATTCAATAGATGAAAGTGAGTAATATTGATCATAATCTAAATTAATATTAAATTTCTAATCTGTAATCAAGAATGAGTTAAAGCTAGAAATATATTTGTGAATTTTGCCAATAATGATTTCTTCATTATTGGAATAATAAGTAAGGAGCCAAGGTTTTTGTTTTTTGGCAATAGGATATATATTGTATATAAAAGGGTTAGTACCAGATGATTAGAAATGAGGTAAGATAGTTCTGTGATATTTATCTAATATGATTTTTGTTTTCAAGAGAGGTAAACCATAAAGGTTGTTTTCCTTTTGTTAGTTAACATAGTCTTGATGAAAAATGTTGCTATTTAAGTAATATACTGTTATCAGCAGTACATAGTTGCTCTAAGTAAAGGATATTAAGTTTTCTTAATTGTTTTTAAAGATAATGTATTTTGGATATTGTATAGGTATAAGTTCAATTAGTTGGCATGCATTGTGTATAGTATTTGGCCATAATATATTGTAATGAGCAGAGATTATAATATTGAGATATTGAAACAACTGAATATTTTTAAAATTAAGAGTGATTTATTATATTTGTCAATAATAGGTTGGTTATGTTGAAGAATATTAGTAGTAAACCATAGATTATTTTGAAGTTGTTGCAGTCTAATTTTAGTTGTTATGCCAAGAATATTAGGATCATTAATCTGTTGTTGAAAATTAGTAAT